CCTCTTCTTGCTCCCTCCCTCCATGGTACAGGCATTTGCTGGCATCGCAGCGGCTGTGCCTCTGGAGAAGTGATTCGTATGCATTGTTGTCCTCCCATGTTGGTCTTCTACAAGAGAAGGGGGGGGAAGTGATGAGCCCCCAGTGTCCCCAGCATAAGAACCAAGGTTATCCAAACCTATCCACCCCAACTCTACTTCCAGATTCACTATGAAGCTGGGGCACGTGCTCATGCAACAGCCAAGGTCCAGGCCTGCCGAGACATTCCCCGGGCAGGCCCAGTATTACAGACTTAATGTCAGCAAAATCAGAAAACACCAACCTGGCAGGGATTTGGATTCCCATGGTGGACATTTCCAAATGGAATAGATCTTCTTCTCGACAACTGGCGCACTGGAAGCTCAGAGTGCCAACACTGAAGGCCTGTTGCTGCAGGAGAAACACAAGCAGCATGAACATGTGTGGTGCCTGGTGCTGCTGATCAACATTTTTACCTGCAGGGTGAGGACAGGGCTCCTACCTGGATGCAGCGCCTGTGGAACCAGGCATGTTTACATGCTGGGCACACCAGGATGTGATAGGACAAGCTGTCCCCCACAGGCTCAAGGCAGATGAGGCAATTGGTGCCTTCTGCTGGAGCTTCCTGAACTGCCTGTCGAGGGCGGTGCTCCCAGCAGTAGGAACTAGCGGGAGAATGGAAGGGATGACATGGTGAGAAGTGCTGCGACAAGGGCAGAGGACCAAGAAGAAGTCCCAAGCCCTATTTCTGGTTTTGGCAGGCTGGCAGGTTGACAGCCCTCCCTGGCTTGGCTGCTGCTGACAGACCTTACCTGTGCTGCCCAAAGAACTGGGTGACGCATTCCCCATCCACTGCACAGGGCAGATGGAAGCTTCGTTCACAGCCATTTTCTGCACATGTGATGGCAGCCCCCCTCTCACCACAAACAAAGCATTGCTGGAAAAAGAACAGCCCCATCAGCGGCAGGTTCTGTGTCTCCACAGCCAGCCTCATGCAACTTGACTGAGCACAGATTGTGGGCATTTCTGTGTTACATTCTCCAGAGCTGCCTGGTAGACAAGGTTTGTCTGCTGTCACAGAACTTTGTCCTGGAGCTAGTTGCAGTGGCTGCATTTGCTCTTTTTGGCTCCAGACGAAACTTGTATGAGCCTCCCCTGGTACTAATTTGCCTGCTTTGTTCAGGTCCTCACCTTCTGGGTTGCCTGCTTGACCTTGTGTGTGATGGCAGCAAGGGGAAACCCCAAAATTCCCAACAGAAAGTTGTCTTCTTGATAAAGGCCGGTGGCAAAAAGCTTTTAAAAGAGAAAAGAAGAAATTAAGATTTTCTGAACTTAAAGAGGGGAGATTTATCGTAGAACAAGATTGAACTTTCACAACAAGAAGCCAGTCCATGATTCTATGATTCTTTGAAATTACAAACCTGTGAAGTTCTCATTAGACAGAATGGAAGAGACCATTACTTGTAGGAATCCGAAAGGAGTCCCAGGGGAACTCACCAGGCAAAATGAATGGACAAGAATCCCATTCTTCTGACAAAGATACCCAAAGGTGTCCGGGTCAACATCCGCCCGACCACACAGCATGCACACTGGAGAGGAGAGAGCAAATGTGAGCAGTGGTGAACACCTGGCGGGGCCAGATGTCCCTGAGGGCCATCCCCAGGGTCCTGCTCTGTGCCTGATGTGCTGTCTGGAGGCAGTGGAGGGGAAGAGGCCATGGCAGGCCCAATGGTGCTAGCGGGCAGCCACAGCTCAAGCTGGATCCCCTTGCTAAGGAGCAGAGGGGTCCTGCCTTGCAGCAGCTGGGGAGTCCCTGCCTGCCTCTTCCTTCTCTCTCAGCCACAGGAAAACCCCCAGCACTTCTCTGCCCTTCTGTGGGAGCTGCGTGCAGGGATGCTTTGCACTCACCTGGCTCCTCCAAGCTGGAGGCCTTCCTCTTCCTATCAGACATTATGTGCTTCAACAGTGAAGACTGCAGGAGACCCTGTGCTCTCCGCGCCTCACCAGGCCACACTGACGCTTGGCCTGAGCCCGGCAGCCTTTGCTCTGCTCCCAGCCCTGCGGGTCACAATGGCCGCTCTGTGACACTCGCTGTGACATCACGGTCACCGCCTCACAGGAGGTGTGGGCACAGGCCCTCAGCTGCCAAGCAAGATGGCAGCAGCTCCACAGCTCCTCTGGGCAACCTGTTCCAGAGTGCCACCACCCTCCAATTACATAATTTGCTCCCAACATCCAATCTATATCTGCCCTCTTTTTTTCCCATATTGTTCATCACCTCTAGCAGAGCTAATTCCTTCAGGTACTTAACACCATGGTGGTCTACTTGCCTGGATATCATACTAGATCTTTCTTGAAGGGATACCTTTCCTTCATGGCTACCACAAGTCACCTGTTGTGGCAGACAGTGTCAAAAGCCTTGCTGATGTCAGGGAACACAACATCCACTGCTCTCCCCACATCTGCCCAACTGATGATGACAACATGGAAGGCTTCCAGGTCAATCAGGTGTGATTTCCTCCATGAATCCATACTGGGTACCAATAACTTCTACTCTTCCACCATCCTTCCAGGGACAGAGATGAGGCTGACTAGCTGGTAGTTTCAACCTGTGCATGGCGGGTAGTTGGAACTAGTTGAACATAAAGGTCTCTTCCATCACAAGTCTTTCCATGATTCTTCAATAACCAACTCTGCTGCAGTACTGTTGCCAAGAGCTTAGTAGCAGGACTTCTTGTGGTCATGGCTGATATTCTCGTGATCCTGTTGAGGCTAAAGGTCTGGACAGAGCCTAGCTAAGCCAGAAATATTTTATCTTCAATGTTTGTCTCAGATGCACAACTGCTACAGACCACTTTTGTGTTGGGGACAGTAGGGAAAATATTAATGATGTGTGTGATGTCTTATCCCTTTCAACTTTCAATAACATCAACTCTCTTTCCTCGCCACGCATTTGAAACACTATTGCATCAGAAAGTATTTGTAATGGACATTTTTTTAAGCATGGAATTTCTAGATCTTTACGCCTTGCTGAGCTGGCATTGCTGTCTATTTGGTAAGCCCTTTCAGCTATGATACTGAGATAAAAAATGTTACATGACCAAAAAAATGGTCATGATTGCTAAAATGTATATTCATTAACAAAAATAAATTCTCCTTTCATCTTCCCCTATTCAAGTAACACTATAAGCTTTTAAGCCTTCAAGCACCCCTAAACAACATCTTTGCTAAGAATGGCTATTTAACATCAGTAAAGAGATTGGAGAGGAAATCTGTCTTCACTGCAGATAGAAGGGGAACTGTTTGATGTCACCAAGGCCTGAAAAAACTTCTCCCAGGAGGAACATCTCACTGTTTTTTAAAACCCATGGGTAAAAGCCGAAATTCTCAAAGGTTTAAAGACAGGATGTTGTGATGATGCCAAAAGGAAGTGTTCTCTCTTCAAGAGAATGGAACTTTTCTCTTGGATAAATGCATGGAAAGATCACTTCCCAGAGCCCAGTGAATTGGCTAAGTAGATCAGGAGAAGACATGAAAAATAAAAGACTTCTTTCTGAAAAAGAATTTGCCAATGGAATACAGTATAACATAAACCAAAATGAATCTAAATTCGGCCCAAATTCTTCCAGATCAAGGTCCACATGGTACACAAGTTCCAAGCAGGCCTAACTGTATCCTCAGTAGACATTCAGTACATACAGTTTGAGCTCTGACTGTCCCAAATGTAGAAGACAACATAACAGGTTTTCAAGGATCCAGGTACATATGTGAAATCATGGCCTCAAGTTTAGATGGGATAGCCAAAGTGTGTCTACAATATCACAGTGTGTCTGTATAGTTGTGGTATTAGCAAAGTACTCTATGGTTCATCTCAGCACAGCTGCAAAGGAAGCCCTACTATCAGTGTGGTGTGACTGGAGAGCTATTATGATCCTGACCCTGTCTTGCTAATGAGGAATGCAGGTCTGCATTGCAGCACAGTACTCAAAGCTTAATTCAGGTCAATATACAAAACGTCTTTACTTGCAAGCTTTAAAATTGGTCTCATATCCTTACCAAGAAGTGCTGCTGTTCTAGTCTGGTCTAAACCTGGAGAACATCTCTAGAGGTTCTCTCTTATCATCTCTCTAGTTATAAGAACAAGATTATATGGGATGTATAAATTTGGTGTAAATACACTAAGGCCCATCTATCTATCCATGTTATCTATAAATCTATTCATTCTTACCTGGGTGCATACTAAGGTATGATGAAAACTTCTTACCAACCTTATACAGAAGGGGGTAAGAACTTATGGATATTTTATTTAAATGTAAACAATATTATGAAAATACAATTTTATTAGCTTTGTTGCATGAACACAGTTCATAGTGATACAGAAAAGCTGTGTTAGTAATAATGCTCTAAAACTGTTATTCAAGAAAGCTCTCTGAGCGACTCTTTTTCCTCTGGTTTTCATATTGCCAGTGTCTTCGTAAGCCCTATCACTAGAAATGGATTTGATCAAGTAAGAGCATTTTAAAAGAAGAATAAACAAAGAAAACATGGAAAAGCTGTATTTGTGACACACTGACCTGAAACTAAGGACTAATTTTTGCATGTAGGGTTTTAAAATAAAATGTTTAATTAAAAATGAAACAAATAATGTTCTTCATTTGAATGTTTTCAGTTTTAATCCTTGTCCTTTTAGAAGTTTATATTCTGGAGTGAAAACACTACTCTGAAACGAGAGATTGGAACAATGAAAACATTCATATTGACATTGTCTGAACACAGTATTTTGTTGGTTCTGAATTTTCCCTTCTGTCTCTTTTCTAAAATAAATTATTCATTAAATTAAAAGTGAGTTTATAAATTATTTCCTCTCAACCTTTTTTTTTTTTTTTTCTGTAAGGAATTTACTACTCTCTGTATATACACATATCTGAGTATGTATGTATATATGTCTATATATGGACTGTGATTGATTTATTTCTCAGTTGTGCAGAAAGATTCACAGGAAGATTGAGGTATCAGAGGCTCATGAGGCAGTGGGGTAGTCTCATAATAACGTCTATCTTTCCAGCTACAAGGACATCTACACTCAAGCAAGGAGAAGGCATTTCAGATGTCCTGCTGCTGGTTGTTGCCAGACTCTTGCTCCCTGGAGAGACAACGCAAGTGCCTGAATACTGCCCTCCACCCATTCTGCAGACACTGCATCCTGCTTGTCCCTGATGGCACAGGGGAATAGCCGTTTCTTTTCTGACTCAACCAAGCCTATTTAAGATACATATTTTCCACTCCTCCGCTGCAGAAAAGCAAACAATCCATTAGGGCTTTGCTGACTGGATCTGACATTTCCCAGGTGAAGATTAACACCCCCTTGGGGCCTGAGCACCATGAAAATCAACTCATCACTTGCGCATCACTTCCTATCACTGTTCCCAGAAAAAAGAAGCCCCAGCACCTGCCAGTGCCTGCTGGCATAGTTTACAAGGTGTTTGACTAGGCATGGGAGGGATAAATGGGTAAACAGTGGTGTGCCATTCATAATGTGAAGTCTTCAGGAACAGTGTTGGTTTGGGGTATTCCTACTTCCCCCTAGTCGTTCCTTTAGGATGTGGATTGATGATACGTAGGCTTTGAAAGTGGAATCATCTTAAGGTGTCTCTTTTTCTTTCTGGCTGTCTCTGCTTGGTCCCATCCTCTTAGCTGAGCTGACTCAAGGACATATGGTCTGTGCTGCAAAGGGGCAACTGACACACATCAAAAATGTGTGTCTTTTCCTGTAGAACTTCTGTGTGTCTCCTTCTGAAATCAGAAAGGAGCCGACTCCATGTTTTTTGCAGTTTTTGGCCATTGCTCCTTGTCCTGTCACTCCACAGCACTAAAAGCAGTCTGGCCTCATCCAATTGCCTCCTGCATTTTAGATATTAATAAACATTAATCAGATCCTCTCTCAGTCTTCTCCAAGCAGAACAGTCCCAGCTCTCTCAGCCTTTCCTCATACAGGAGATGTTCCAGGCATCTCATCATCTTTATGTCCCTCTGCTGGACTCATTCCAGGAGATCCCTGACTTTTGTGAGCTGGGAAGCCCAGAATTGGACACAGTATTCCAGATGTAGCCACACAAGGACAGAGTAGTGACAGAGGATCACCTCCCTTGTCCTGCTGGCCACATTCTTTTGAATGTACCCCAGGATACCACTGGCCTTTTTGGTCACAAGGCCACACTGCTGGCTCATGCCAGAAGTAGAAGTGTGGAATGATTAAGTGGTGAGGTGCTGGAACAGCTGCCCAGAGAGGTTGTGGATGCCCCGTCCATCCCTGGAGGTGTTCAAGGCCAGGTTGGATGGGGCCCTGGGCAGCCTGGTCTAGTATTAAATGTGGAGGTTGGTGGCCCTGCATGTGGCAGGGGGGTTGGAGCTTCATGATCCTTGAGGTCCCTTCCAATCATGGCCATTCTGTGATTCTGTGATTCTTTCCAAAATAGCCTTACATCCTTCTGACAACTGTAATTTCTCAGACCTTACCAGAAAGTGCTTTTAAATTCAGCAGTTCTGGGTGGATATTTCCGCCCATAAATTTCCCAATCATTTGACTATGTCACCCTTAATGGAAGCACTGGTGTGCATTCAGGAGATGTATCTGTGACATTCCCTGATGCAGGGTGGTCTCATGCAGAGTGAGCTTAGTCCAGCTGCTACAACAATGCAGGCATCTGAGTTATTCAGGATATCTGCAAGGGGGTGATAAAGGTAGCACCAGCCCATAAGGCATGCATGTCCAACCTTTTGGCTTGTCTGGGCTGCACTTAGTAAAGGGAAATTGTCTTGGGGAGCATAGACAGGTGTTGCTCCGAAAGTAATGCCTAATTATTTCCATGGAAACTAAACCAATACAAAGAGCACAATAGCAGTATTTGTAGAGCAAATTCTCAGCTACAAAACACTATTTTTCAACACTGTCACTACCATTAGCTTTGCATTTTCACCAGCAATAAACAACAGCCTGCATGCCACACTCATAAAAGTCTGCACCAGCAGAGCTAGCCCACTGCTTCACAATGTTCCTCCACCTCACTGTTTGCTCTCTATAACTGTTCAGCAAGCATCGATGAATGTCAGTGTGTGCAATTTTTTTTGCATGGAGGAGTTCAGTGACACACTTTTGCTTTATATACACTTCCATGTCAGACTCCATTCTGTCAGACTGCCCCTCTGCTGCCATCTATCACACAGCAACAGAATGTAATAGAATATTGGTGGGAAGGTTCAACATCTGCTGCCATCCCACCAACATTCACCTCTGGCATCATGGGCCAGCATCATAAAATAGGAGGCATTACTTTCAGAGCAGACCTCATACAATATATAATATAGTTAACATATATAATTAACAAGACTTACTTCAATTTTTAATATTTGCATTAAAACAGCAAAAAAAGAGCAACAAAACCATAAAACTAAGAGGATATCTGACCTTGCTTTTGCGAAACTAACACATCAGCCTGGTTTGATGGCAGTGGCTGCAATTCTCAGTGAGCTCTCATGGTGTTCAGCAGAGATTTTTGGTGAAACTGCACTCTTCTTGTGCTTCATCCTTGACAATTGTTGTTCACAAATGTACACTCTGCCCAAAAGAGACGACATGCATAAGGTGTTACTGTGAAGTAAGGGATTCCTTTCTCTTATAAAAGTTTGGTAAAGAGACATGATCATATTATTGAATTGAATATCTGATTGCAGCTCTATACATCCCACTTGAAAAATGTGTTTATGTCGATTGAAGTCGCAAATATAACAGAAAATTGATGAAACCCTCTCTCAAACTCCTTTATCACAACGGAAAACACAGCTGCATATTTTTCATTGTTCACAGGACTGTGTTTAGCCAAAGTACTAACATGCGTGAAATTATTTGCCACCACTGAGGCTGGCACCACACTGCACCCCGTGCCCTGATTTCTCCCATTTCTTTCCTTCCAGCTCTGAACCTTCCATTTGCCACTCAAAATGACCGCTCATCCTTTGCAGGCTGATCTCATTCCTCTGTGCATGTGTTGCGTTTACACCAGCATCTGTCACACACAGGGGTTTTAACACAGGCGCAGTCAAACTGAGGCTTGAAAACATGGCTGTTGGATCCCCTACCATAGCTAGGGGTTAGTTGACAGAATTGAAAGATCTTTGGAGGCTGTGTCCTGCTGCTTTGGCACAGATAAAGGTCTATGCCTGCCCTTCTTTCTCCTTGCACTGGGATGCTGTGGGGATTATCTCACCATTTCCAAGCAGGCTGAGCATTTCTGCAAGTCTGACAGGCACTCGCCGCTGCTGGAAATTAGCTCCTGTTGTCTGCAGAAGATGCATTCATTACCTCATGCCCCTTGAGGCCCTCTGTGCTGGCAGCAAGCTTGAGGCTGGTGTGGCAGCTCCCCGAGCTGAAAAACAGGGCTTTGCACCATGCTCGATGAATATCCATGGGCCGTAGCATGTCCCACCCTTTCTGCAACCTGTGCCGTCCTTGCCAAAGTTATTAGAGGCTTTGCAATCCCTTCCCTTTCCCTGACACAGCTGCTGTTGGATGCCCTGCAGAGTTAACTCATTCTACCTGAATGCAGACAAGCTTTCCCCTGCTCTCCTATTAGTGCCATTTGAAAGCAATGATTCACCACCTCAGCTTCCTGGCATCCCGCTGCTCCTTGCACAGCACAGGCTTTGCCAGGGCAGATTCTGTCATTTAAAACAATAGAGAGGCAAGGGCTTAAAAGAAAATCTACCAACTCAAATGTAGACACTTTAGGATGGACAGAAAGATTTCTTACCTCTCTGCCTACCCCAGAAAGACTTTTCCTGGGATTCAGTGGTGCTTTGCTGTGAAGAAAAACTCAGTAAGTGTTCCTTGTTGTTTTGTGTTTTTTTTTTTTTTAACAAATTTCTAGTCATTATTTTAGTAGGATAATCTGTCTAAGGGAATGTCTCTAAACATCAGAGATTTTGAGTGTGTTTAACGAGTACAGGAGGGAGGAGGCTACTGCTAGATCTTTTTGCAGCTGGGAAAGCAAGAGGAAGACTTGTGCAGGGACAAAAGGGAGGACAGGGACAGAGCTAGAGGTTTGAACCCAGTGCCATGTTCTCCATAGCACTCCATCTTTAGAATTGAGATGCTTCATTGCCCTTCCATTGTATCCAAAGGGTTTAGAAGTACATGGAATCTGCTCTTCACTTGTCTGCATGCAAACCCATGTCTGTGCTTTGTTATTCTTCCTTTAAAAGGAGCATTGTTTCTCCATGCTACATCCCATGCTCTTGCAAAGACTGCAGCAGGGGTGAAAGCAAGGGCTCTCCACCAGGATCCATAGTAGGATGCAAGTGAGTTTTCAACTGGAAATGTAAAGGGATTGAAATGGCATGAGCAAAACTGGATTAATTACCTGGCAATTAGCTCTAAATTAATGTACAACCATATGGTACAATTGAGCTTGGAAAGGAGAGGCTGTTCTGGCAGCTGGAGTCCACAAGACCTGTAGAGATCAAACCACACTGTCTGTGGCAGGATACATGGCATAGGTCAATTCAGTTGTGTGTTCCTGAACCTCTGAGAAAATTTACTGACTTTAGTACTATCAGGGAAGAGATTTGGGTAGGAAAAGCAGGACAGTGGTCTGTTGGATTTTTTTCTTGGTTATACATAAATATACAGGCAAGATCAAGCTGGACTCTCAAACTGCAACACCAGAACTTTAATTTCTGGTCCTGGTCCACAATTCCTAGTCCTAGTCCA